TTAAGGTAACAATGCAATACATACTATATTATTAATATTAATAATATGACAATATCTGTAGTCAATAAATGAGGGAAAGCCTGCCCATTTTTTTTAAATGATAAAAGCACTGATGTTCATTTACTGAAGTGGTATTCAGGAACTGAATATATTACTGAACAAATTACTGCAAAATAATAATAGTAATAATAACATCACAGCTATAATAACATCCTCAAAAAACAAAGAGACAACCTTAGATAAAGTTTTATTAATATGTTGGCCTACATACAGTACTGGTCAAAAGTTTGGACACATTACTATTTTTTATGTTTTTGAAAGTCTCTTGTGCTCATCAAGCCTGCATTTATTTGATCAAAAAATACAGAAAAAAAACGTTAATATTCAGCAAGGGTGTGTTAAATTGAAAAAAAAAAGTGACAGTAAAGACTTATATTGTTATAAAATATTTCATTTTTTTTTATTTTAAACAACTTTTTAATCATTAAAAAATCCTGAAAAAAAGTATCAGGTTATAAAATAAATATTAAATAAATAACCACAACTGTTTCTAACATTGATAATAAATCAGCATATTAGAATGATTTCTGAAGGATCATGTGACACTGAAGTCTGGAGTAATGATGCTGAAAATTCAGCTTTGCATCACAGAAATAGATTATATTTTAAAGTATAGTAAAATAGAAAACCATTATTTTAAATTGTAATAATATTTCACAATATTACTGTTTTTTCTGAATTTTTGATCAAATAAATGCAGGCTTGATGAGCATAAGAGACTTCTTTCAAAAACATAAAAAATAGTAATGTGTCCAAACTTTTGACCAGTACCATATAAGTAAAAAAATTTAAAATGAAATGTTGTATTAATAAAAAGGTTATAGGAATCATATTTGTTTCATGTGCTTTTTATTGGGGGTGGGGGGCCTCCAACATGAATTTTCCCTAGGGTCTCCAAATGTCTAAAACCGGCCCTGATTAAACATTACAATTTGTTACACAACGGAATAGCCTCCTGCACAAATGTTGGAGGATACTAGCGTTTGCATCCCTCAACCTCCTCCACATTTATTCTTTGTAATGAAGGAAAACGTTATTTTTTTTACTGCCCAGTAGGAGGAGCTACACTCTAAATTAAAAGTGCTTCAATGGTTCTTTGCAGCTCTATAGGTACAGCAAGAACAACTTGTAACTGTGTAGCTGTGGTTCTACTTTTTTTAACAGATTGTTGAAATATGAAATTAAACACGTCATTTTGTGAAAGCAGAAATTTTAAGAACTAGTGTTTTATTAATAACAATATTTATTTATAAGAAATATATTTCAGTATTTAGCATTTAAATTTATAGTTAAATTACTTTAATATACACTGTAAAAAAATTTCACCCCTTTCAACTTAAAAACGTAAGTTTTGTGGCTGCCTTAAAATTGTAAGTTAAATCAACTTAAAAGTACAAGTCATTTCAACTCACTAATTTAAATCTTGGCTAGTGCTGAATTGTTTTATTGAAGTTCATTTGACTTTACAATATTTGCTGTTTCAACTTAAGTTCAAAAATTTTAACATTAATTTTCTAGTTATGATAATGTAAACTTTATTTTAGATCCAGATAAAAAATATATACTACATTAGTTTGAAACATTTAAATTTAATTTTTTTCTTGCAGTGCTTTATAAACAGGGTTTTAATATTAAGAACAGTACACAACCTGCCTGTGCATGCTAATGTGTGAATGCCAGTATGTGTATACAACAAGGGCACAAAAGTAGCAAAAAACTGCCAAGAAACTGTCATACAAAGCTGAAAATACACTCATACCTCATGGGAAACAACCACTGAGAAAAGCTTGAAAAAAACACACATACATGTCCATTACAGTCCTTTTTTTTCTTGAACATTTAAAAGGAGAAAGGTGTCCTGCAGTGCACCATCGTAGTCTTCGTATTAGGAGGCCAGCTTGCACGCCCTTCTTGTGTGTATGAAGTGTCTCACCATGAGCCTTTAAAATCAGAAAATAACAGTAAAAATTACTAACAGTTGGTTATTCTATATACAATACACACTGACAGACTTCAATATACACAAATTAATTAAACACATTCAATGTTTTAAATAACAAAAAAAAAGTGATTGTTTAAAGCAGGGGTGTCGAATCCTGCTCTGCGGGTCACTGTCCTGCAGAGTTTAGCTCCATCCTTAATTAAATACATCTGAATCAGTTAACTAAGGTATTACTAGGCATACCAGAAACTTCCAGGTAAGTTGTAGCTAAATTCTGCAGAAGAGTGGACATCCAGGACCGAGTTTAGACACCTCTGGTTTAAAGTTTCCCTATGCTGCTTTTGTGAGTAATAGGAATGTAACAATGTACTCAAAGTCGGTTGAAAATCGATGCAAATATGTGCTGCAAGTTGATTGAAACGTTAAACAAATCAAGATATGCGTTTTAAACACCAAGGGCTGCTGAAACTGTATACTGTGACCGTGCTTTACAAGCACTATAGCAGCAAACATTTCGCCAAGTTAATAAATAGTAGCAAACATGATGGCGGCAGTGGCAGGGTAGATTTTTGACGAGGTGTGAGAGAGGTTTGGCATTCTGACGACAATAAATGTAAGAGATGAGGTGGCAACAGACAAAACAAAAACTGTGTAAATACACGTACAATGTCATAAAGGGTTTGTGCAACCAAAAATGAAAATTCTGTCATCAATTACTCGCCCTCATATAATTTCAAACCCATAAGACCTTTGTTCAAAAATCAGAAGTCGTTGAAATGTTGGCTTATCTTACTAAGATATGGTTTATATTCTTTATGTAGTACATAAATGCAAAATTTAGTCTCAGACTCACAGTCAAACAATGCCTGTAAATTTAAAAAAACTATTATGTAGGGAGAAAAAAAAAACTTTAAAGTGGTTCAAATATTGACTTATCTTAAGACTCACCTCATCCACGTTGAATAATATGCTTCTTCGCGCCAGCCCAACGGACAGCTTCCTCAAGTTCATGAGTTGTTCGTCTGAAATTCCTCCGCGATTTAGTTAGTTCGCTGTATAGTCTGCCCGTGTCTCCTTGTTTGATGTTGCACTGCGATGTCTTTATGTATTAAACATGAGTCTAATGTCTAGATTTGCTGAATTTGTTTTTCTTGGAAAGGACTCTGATATTAAATTCATGTACTAATTTGACTCCTGCGCATGAATCCATGTTCAGAGATTTGGCCGGTTAGTGCCAATAAGCTACAATTTAAAATGTTAAGTTCACTTAACTAAATTGGGCTCCTTGAATTTCAGTAACATTAAACTGACTTTAAAAATCAAGTTGAATCTAGTATAACTTGTAAAAAAAAGTTTAAATTGCTTAAATAATATTTATGAGTTAAAGTAACTTAAAAACATAAGTTGTCATGGCTTTTTCATCATATCATTTTTTACAGTGTAGTAATAGTCATTTATTAAATGAAATAGCTTTAAACTATCTGCGAACCCTTTGGAAATTTGCTGAGGCCCCCTAATGGGCATGGTTGCCAAGTCTGTGGTTTTTCCGTGGGTTAAAAATTTGACATACTGCATAAATTAGTTTTGACTGAAATGCTTGTATTGAATTATTTTATATTCAGTGATAAAAACAATTGTGGTAGATGTTAAGTTTTGAGAAGAACTGGTAGGGAGGCTTTGAGCTTCTTAATAAAAACAGACTGTGTTTATAATTACTACTATAGTGTTTATTTTTAGTTGAAATTGTGTATAATGCATTACAGTGACTGTAAAATATGTATTTTACGTACGGGAGAGGCATATTTTGAGTTTTGATATTTGGACTACGGTCATCGGGCTAGTTTTTTTTTTTTTTTTTTTTAAGAAGACCTGGCAACTCTGGCCCCGGGCCCCACTTCTGTATACAGTTCTTGAATTGGTTGTATGTTACTTTGGAGATAAAAAAAAGTCTTGGTTAGATTACAGAATCTTCCAAACAGTGTTGGGAATCCAATATCCACTGTAGAAAATCTATGAAAAAAATATCAGAATCTAGCATCGTATATAATTTAATGTATGATTGGTGAGTTTATTTTTGAAGAAAAAAAAACACATTACTGCACCTTTTATGTGATTTCAACTAAGGTTTTTATTGATTTATCTTTACTTTTAATATACCAGCTTTAGAGATAAGAATAATTTAATCATGAGGAGGTAAATGACACTGATAATCAGTAACCTGTAGCGTGCGTATGAAATAATGATAGCCTTGATCAGATAATGTCACCCTTCATAAGTGCCTGTGATTGCTTTTGTGTAAATGAACGGACGTCTATAAATCAGCAGTTGGGCCTAAATATAGTGACACAGAGACAAACTGCTAATGCCTACAGACATACTGTACATACTCTGCCAAACTGGGGCATTGAAATTCATCAGCTTTCAAATCAGAGGGTTGGCTTTTTAGGGCATGACAGCTTTTTTAAGGAGCCTCAGTGGCATTTCAGGTCACAGTGACTTTCCAGTGTTGGCTTGATTAGCATTGGCCTTGTCATTCAGTTCACACAATTTGGATATACAAACACGATGGTCTCTTTTAAGAGTTTGTCAGCTTTGCTAAGATGATATATGTATAATATACTAATCTAAGGTAATTAAAGAAGAAAACACACCAACATTATTTAGTTGCCTAACCAGAACATTTAAGTTCAACATTTGATTATGACGCATTTGAATTCAACATTTGAATGGAGAATTTGAATCTTTCAAACAGTAGTTATCTGCTGCTGAAAGAAATCTCTCTTTTTCATTCAGAGATGCACGTTGAGTAAATAAAACTTGGACCTTCCCTTGTGGATTCCAGGACTTCACTATTTATTTGTGACATGTGTTGTACAAGTGTGTGCATCTGTGTAAAGGTTACTGCAGGTAGCTTAGGGCTTGCCAAATAAGGAGTGATTTGTTGTTCCTGACTAATCTATGGACTCTGAGACTGCGCAACATCACAGGGGACTGACAATACAGATAGAGCAAGACAGGAAACGAAAGAAAGCAACAGCATGAAAAAACAGCATAATGCAAAAATCAGCTTAGCATAAATTAGGTGGACTAACCTGAGGATACAGGAAGAGAGGAGTAGCACAAAACAAGAAGTTACTTCGAGTCTGAAGTGTACAGTAGTGTGAACACATGAGGGCAGGGATTCGCTTGCCAATTTGTGGTTGAGTGAAGATCGAAACCCATTCAGAAAACTGACAAACACACTGTGTAAGAGAAGAAAGGTACTGAGCACAGTGGTGTAGAGATGCTCAGGAGAGAGAGCGGGAGCGCACAGACTGAGAAGGACAGCGGGGCCCCCTGAGGAGGATAGTGGATCATTATGGGAGTCAAATGCAGGGCTTGTATAGCCATTGTCTTCATCCTACTTTTGCTTGGCTCCATGTGGCTACGTAAGTTTTGCCAAGTCTTTCTGAATTTTCATTTAACAGACTGAATGTAATATTTGGTTAATTAGGCCAGTTTTTTTCTGACACACCAAAGCTACTGTATTTTGCTGTGGGGTCAGGTTAATATATTTTTATTTATTTATTATTTTTGGAGGTACTGCTTTATTATTTTCGTTTTAATGAAGCTTGAAATTCAATCAATCACAGCAATATCTGTCTTGGTGATATTGAGTTACATTTGTCCAGCCTTATACAGTTGCTTGGTCTTGGCTGTTACAGTAGAGGAAATAAACATGTAAAGATGCTAAACAGACATTTTACCTGAATTCACATCTTAAATAGATTTTATAATAGAGTTCATGAGAGAAGTATTGGTGACTGAATCTTATTCATGAGCAAATGTTGAATGCTTCTTTTGAGACAGGTCTTTCAATGATTTAGTGTACGATTCATTCCTAATTCTCGAGTTCATCTCACTGTCTCAATAAAGTAAATAATACATGTTTGAAATGACATGAGAATGAATAAACAAACAATGACAGAATTTGTGTTTATTTTGGAGGTAACTACTTGTTTAATATTCAGAGAAATATTATACTGGATAACTTTATCTCACTCAAGTCAGTTATGCAGTTCACAGATCTTCTGGACGAGTTTATGTGAGAGCCTAATCAATTTATGAGACTGGCTTTGAGTATTTTCAACTACTTTATGAAACTATGATTTAATTATGTGATTTAACTTCTATATATGACTTTTCCTTCTCTCTTTCTATTTAAAATGATTTATTCTCTCATTACTCATCCTGTGTCTCTCATTGTAGATGGGAACCTGGAGGACCACTGGAATACTTGCCCAAAGGTTTCTAGTGTAAAAAACAAGGTAAGAGTAATGAAATACAAAAGAGAACATGAAATAACTCGAGGCTTAATAGGTCATTTTCAATCTATGCAGCAGCCGCAGAGCTTCAGTCGTGCCTGCTAACAGGAACTTTGCCAATTCATTTTATGGCATCACCCTCCTCAGAAATCTGTCCTTACACCACTTTTCCATCTGTTGTCGTTTCCTCAGGTTCTGTCTTTGGTTAGAGTTAATAGTTCAGATGACGATGTGGCTCCATTGAGGGTATGTCCTGGCATGAGGTTTCAAGTTGCCGATTTGCTGGCTCACCTGCAGGCAGCACCAGTCTCAACCAATGATGTGCTTCTAAAGCCATACCTGGCAAGCTGGGATGAGCTTATCAAGTAAGTTAACGCACATAATTGCATCTCATCATATAGCAGGCTAAATATGCCACATTCTGTAATTAGCCTAATACGAGCAAGAGTGCAGCATGATCGCGAGTGTGATATTACATTTATTACAACACTTCAAACAACAAGAAATTAATATTGAGTAACCTATTATTTTAGACCCATTATTGCAGGTTAAGTGTATTTCGTTCCAACAACAAATATATTTCCAGTTGAAGGCAAAGCGAGAATGAACCGTTGTGCATCTCAGTGCAACACACTGTTGCGTTTCGTTCTAGAATGAACCAGTGATGTCGAACGAATCGGTTAATTGAATGAATCAATAATGACTCACTCAAAAGACAGTAGCTGCATCCCAAATTATGCACTATACACTATGCACTTACACACTATGTATTTATGCACTATGTACTCAACCATGTAGAGTGTGAGTTATATAAGGTTATTTTGTCATTCATAATCAGAGTCTGATAGCCGCTCCCCCTTTGCTACGTAAATAAAGCTGCGACAGTTGAGTGCATGAAGTGTCCTACATTCCACACTTAGTTTTTTTTTGGTTATTTAAGTGCATCATCGGGGAATTTAAAGTGCACTGTTTCTTTTTTGAATTTTCAGTGTGAATGCACTACTTGCACTATTTATACTACAAGACGTCATAAAATAGTGCACAAGTACACGATTTGGGATGCACCCAGGCTGCGTTCCACTTCACTTTTAGACACACTTGCAAACTTCCCTAAGCACTTACCCTCGAGGGAATCCCCGCTGCTATTTTGAAGTGCGTTCCACTTCGTGAAGGGAATGAGGGAAGTTTATATGGACAGACCCTCGGACCCCTCGATTTTGACCAAGGGAGCGAGTCTGATTCATATGCACACTTCAGGCCACTCCATAGACCACAATGCAACACGATTGTGACGTCATCACAGATCGCGTTTAATTGATCTCCACCCCAAACAACTCTATAATATATAAATGATTTTGTTTTAACATTAACAACTGCAAATAGCAATAACTTAATTCACGTGATGTTGTGTACTGCTAGGCATCTTTGGTTGCCTCTTTTTGTGTAATTTTGTTGGAAAATGTGTGCCTTTTTATTGTCTGAGCCACTTATCAAAAGTTGCTAAAAGTAGCCAAATAAAATTTAAAAATAGCTCAATTTGTTGCTAGGTGCTTTTGGAAGAAAAAGTTGCTAGGGTAGTCTGAAAAGTTGCTAAATTTAGCAACAAAATTGCTAAGTTGGCAACACTGGAAGTGAGCGCTCATGCAACGTAATCAATGACGTACATCCGAGTAAACGAGACGGAGGGAAATCTGCGAGTGAAGGGAATAAAAAAATGAACTGGAATGCAGCCCTAGTCACTTGTCTCGACCTACTGGCATATGTAACTTGCAGAAAGAGTTACTAGCTACGTAGGTCTACTTTTCGCATACAGTTTTATGAATACTGTGAATTCGGACACTCTATTCAGCCTATTTCGCCTATTATATAGTAGGGAAATAGGCATATTCGGATGCAGGGGCTGTAAAATCCTCACCAATAATGCAGAGACTGAATGTTTGTTTTGAACATGCAAACACAGACAAGCAGACTGAATAGACAGTGAAAAGTCCAAGTCTCTCTCTCTCTCTCTCTCTCTCTCTCTCTCTTTCTCTCTCTCTCTCTCGCTATATACAGTAGATAGATAGATAGATAGATGATAGATAGATAGATAGATATGAGTAGAAACATACAAATTCATTATATCTCCTTTTTCTGTGCATTTAAGGTTTTTGGAAGCCCTGGGGCCAATGGTGGGTTTAATTTCACAAGAAATTGAATCGAAAACCGCCATCATTCGTGACCTGGCCCAAAAAGCGGAGAAAGAGGCAGAGAAAAAAATTAAAGACAGAAAAAGAAAGCCTCAGCAAAGCGACCCAGTCTTAATGATATCTCATAACAGATCTTTGAACTACTCTGAAATGAATCACAGACTCTCATTTGGTTACACTTCTATTCGGTCTATGATTAAATGGGAGCTGGAGAATGGTTTGGTGGACTTCCACAAGCAGACAAACTCAGGCTGCAGGACTCTGTTGCGCTTGCATCGTGCTCTGCTCTGGCTGCAAAACTTCCTGCAGGAACTGGGGAAGGATGCAAGTGAAGGAGAGCGTCTACGAAGCCCTTCTGACCTCTGCAAAGAAACTTACCAGCGCACACTGGCCCACCATCACAACTGGTGGGTAAGGAAAGCAGCGGAACTGGCCTTTCTTGCTATGCCTGAACGACCTTATTTCTACCAGTTGGTGTGTGTGGAAACGCAGTCAGAAGCTGCTGTGGTGCTGAACAGGGTAGTGAGAGCAATAGAAGAAGTGTATGAGAGAAATGAAGTCACTCTACAAGAGCACGGCATGCTGGATCTACCCTGAGTGTAGAAAGAGGGAGGAAAAATCACAGGAAATATGAGTGGGACCAGCCTAAAGAACAAGGCACTAAATTATAAGACTAGAGCTTTGAACCCTTATGAGAAAAGAATGAAGACTGCTGGATAAATACAAGGCTTATTTATTCATTCTTACTGATGTACTCAAAGTAAGTTACACTTTCTTAAAGAATTAGTGACCACTTTCATGAGTTCAACTGTTAGTGAAAAAGGTTGGCAAGTAAGAAAAAAAATTAAAAAACAAAGCAAACATCTCACTATCAAAGATAACAGTTTTGTTGTTAAAACAACTAAATATGCTGTATACCGTTGGTGCTTGTCGTCTCTTTTCCTGGTATTGGAGAAAGCCATGCATTGATTCTTGTGAAGATATTTACGGTTTTCAGTAGGTTTGCACCATAATAGTACTGGTCGATTGTGAAAGATGCAGCAATGCAGGCTCAGCAAAAGGGACAGACTAGTCCGAAGTCCTGGTTCAACAGAAGAACTTTTTTACAATCCATATGCTTATCAAAAGCAGTTTTATAACGGTGTGACTGATACTTAATGATTGTTCTGGGGATATTCTCTTACAGGCACAACTACATTCATTTTGGCATGACAAACTGGATAGCAATGTGTTTACAGAACTCCTTTTATGGAAACCACTCAAGGTGGCTAAAAGTGGCTCTATATGAAGAGCACAGAGGGGTATGGCTAAATTCTCATTTGAAATAATTTTGAACAGTAAATTTGAAAATGTATTGTCTAAAACCTTAATAATAATAACAATAATTTTAAAATAGTTATTTTTAATGCTACTACCATAAACTACACAAACATATGCAATTGGGGTAAGTAAGATACAAAGATATAGCTTTTCGATCTTGTATCTTAGGGTACCACCCCACTGAGAACCTTTTTGTGGGTGTATTGTATTCATTCAAATGACATATGACATCAAAATGGTTATTGTTATGTCACATTATGTCACATATGCATATTATTCCAGGAAACTAAAACTAATGCAAATAAAGCAAGGTTCTCAAATCAGGTGCTCGGTCGAAATCGTGTGCCTAAAAGGGCACTTTAGCGTTAGAGAAACTGGAGAAACCTAACCATTTTTACCTTGAGAACTGAATTCTGGAAATGATAATGCAGATTATGCTGATGAAGAGGAGACAAGTGTATTTTTGGTAATTTTATTAAGTTTGTTATTTCAATACATTAGATTATGAACGTGTTTATAATTAAACTTAACTAGTCAATATAATTTCAGGCTCTCGTTATTCATCAAACATTTGAGCAGTTTGCACAAGGTCCAGTGCTATATAAGCACTGAGCCATATCAAATGAACTGTAGTTTGTTCTGTGATGTTGTTGAGGTGTGGGCGTGTTCTCACAACCCACTCTGTTCAAGCACATCTAAACCACAGCATTTACTGTATATACTTATTCATATACTTTATATACATTAGGGAAATGACTTGTCACCTTGTTTTCAAAAGCTGTCGAGTTCTGTTGGTTAATATGCTCACAGGAGACTTACTTAAAACTTTCCATGTATTGTCAATGTTAAATCTGTAGTTTTATGAAACATATGATACATTTTGGCATTTTAAAGGCTACAAAGAGATCCAGACTATTAAAGTGACAATGATTTATTAAATTATTGGCCTGAATTATTGTGACCTCCTTGTATTTTATAATAAGCACTGCAGAGCTTAAAGGAACTGTCCACTATTTTTGAAAATAGGCTCATTAACTCCCCTAGAGTTATACAGCTGAGTTTTACCGTTTTCAAATCCATTCAGCCAATCTCCGGGTCAAGCAGCAGGCGCAATGATATTACGCAGCGACTGAAAATAGGCTTATTGGAAGTTACCTAGCTGGGGATTATTTTCAGGCGCTGCGTAATATCATTGCGCCTGCTGCACCCATGGTACGGCAGCAAA